CCTGTGCTGCTGGGTGCGACAGGGACAGAGCCGGGCTGCCCAGAATGGGGTGGGCAGGGATGGGAGTTGCTTGGTTCAGGGGGATCTGCAGTGCCGCCACCGCCAAACGCAGAGGGAGGCTGGGTTCAGGCCACCTCCCTGGGAAGACTCTTCTCCCCCACGGCTGTTATCTGCTCTCTCTGCAGTTTTGGACTGTGGTATCAGGGCAGCAGCAAAGACCTCCCCACATCCAGCTGCTCTGGAGCCTGGGAAATCATCGACTCGCTGGACACGCAGCCGGCGGGAGAGAGTGAGCCGGTGGACGTCTGCCCCGACAGAGCCCCACCAGCCCTCTGACCCCACCTGAATGAGAGCCAGATCCGGCCTCGCAGCGGTGCTTCCCGGCTCCTTTTCTCCCAGCATCTTTGAGAGTGGTATGGCAGCCCTGGCTGCTTCCCCATGCCAGGGTGATGGCGAAGCTACAGCATGGGCAGCCTTCCTCCAAACCCAGTGGAACTCTTGGCTGCGGGGTGCCAGCCTGGCATGGGACGACTCAGCACCTCTGGGCATCTCTGCCTGTTGGCCACCCTTCCGTTGTGCCCATTGCTTAACTGGTGGGGTCCTGCACAGCCGTCCCTCTGCTCCCCACTTCGTGCTGCTCAGTGCGGTGGGGGTCTGCACCCACTTCCCACTGCCACACCCCGAAGGGCTCTAAGCACCTCTGCGCGTAGCCCAGGATCCCGTCACCGGATCCTGCCCTGCGGGGGTATTTCACTTCACCCCTTTCCACTCATACCTCCCCCTAATCCCTGCAACATGAGCCCGGACACTCCAGCTGGGAGCTGTCCTGGGGTCACTGCACGGCTGGCAGGAGCTGAGCACGGTGCACCGGGTGTCGGGGTGCTCCTGTGCCTGGGAGCAGTCAGGATCAGCACTGCGAGTGCCACTCCGGCACTTTTCAGGCATGGGGTGAATCGGTTTTGTACCAGGACCTCTTCCTGCTGCTACTGGGAACTCTTAAGACTGGAACAATCCTCATGTTCACGGGGGCGAGTGGGTCCTCTCGGGCCAGGTACTTTCAGGTATTTTCTAGCTCTAGAACTGGAGTCGGAAATAAATCAGTCTCGTTTCTCCTCCGAGGTACCCGCTGCAGCCTCCGCTCTCTCCTTGCTTGGGAAGGGCTGGGTGATGCCGCCGGGATTCAGCTGCAGTTCTCCAGTGCAGCCGTCGCTTTTGGGGATCAGCTGCGATGGGGAGCGGGGCTACGGGGGCTGCAGGGCTGGATGCGGAGGAGTTAAGTCCCGCATGATGGGGCAGCGGCGTGCTTCCAGCCTGGGGCTGCCCCAGCTAAGCTGGCTTTGAGTAGGAAAAAGGTGTTTCCTGTGCATCTGCTGACACAAAGCTCCTGGGGAGATGGTGAGGTGGGACGGCAGCCAGCAGCGGTTCAAAGGCCACCCTGGGGCACGCCATATGCCCATGGGGGATGTGCAGACCCTACTTCTCAGCCCCTGCCAGGGGTCAGCAGCACCGTGGGGTGGCTCACAGCGGGTCAGGGCAGGGGGAAGCAGTGGACACCTCGTGGGTTGGGGGCATGTTGGCTAAAACAGCTTTAGGGGTGATGGAGGGTGGCACAGTGGAAGCGGGATGACCACCAGTGAGGTGTTCAGGCAGGCACCAACCCCTGTGTGGCTGCGCCGAACGCCTTGATGCCCATTTCTGCTGCTAAGATGGCAGCGAGGGCCAAAAATATCCCGTGTGGCAGAGTTCCCTGCCTCCCCCTCCCCGCCGCACCCCTGACGTCTGGATCGGGGCACCTCCTCCCGCGTTTCCTCAGGAAGAAACCCAAGGCTGGCGGGAGGAAGGGGCCGCACTGCGGGAAGGACGGGACGAGACG